TAATAATAATAATAATAATAATAATAATAATAATAATAATAACAATAAAATAAATAACTTTATTTAAGTGTCAAATGTATCTAGCACTGTTTTGCTAATTGGGGACACTGTAAATAAATAATCAAATATTTCAAATGGTACATAAGGTGGGAGGCTGACCAGCTGAATATTTACACAACGCGGTCGAGGAGTTGAACTCGGGACTTACCGGGAACAAATTTCGATAGCAGGTGGAGGATGGCGACGCCGCCTCCTCAACCAGCTGTTGTAAGCTCCTTACAACATGGACAAAGACTGAGACGACTATTCACCAAGCGCATTTTATTATCCGAAGATCTGAAAACTTCTGATGTAGAAACTGAATCAAGCAGGGTCCGAGTGCAATATAATAAACTACTTTCTATCCTGGCTTTCTCGAGCCGTACTCGCTGCACTCGCGGTCCGTACTGCCATGATCCCAGGTCAATATTCCCTAGTACCGCCTTTGTGCTCGGTTTGCAAGAGGTTGTTAGGGACCTTTGATTACGAAATTGAGTTCGAGTAGGACTTCGAATTTCAAACCAGTGACTTCCTAGAACCCTCTTTCTTCACGTTGGTTTTAGGTTGCGTAGTTCGGCGTACTTCCTGAATGGCTTTTTTCCTAGGCCTTCACGATGAATTAATTTCGGACCACGTGACCCGAAAACGATTTACCGAGACAAAATGTCGAGGCCTAGTAACTAGACAAGATTTTAGGTTGAGAGTGCAGCTCATGGGAAGGGTGATGTGGCAGCTGTCGTAAGGTTTCACATGAATGGCTTGCTACCCTTTGAGAGAACAATAAAACAAACAACAGAAACAATGCCCCTAGCCCTAAAACAATAAAGCTCTTAAAGTACTAGGTTTGAAGATTGTAGAACTTTGAATGTTTTTATGAGCGTTAAGTTTCCGTGGGCTAAGAATTATGGGTAAATCTACCAGTCGCCATCGTTTTTCTTACGGAAGATTGAAATGTTTTTTTGTAATGGTCCCGAGTCTTTCGGCAGATTGTCGGATCAAGAAATAATGGAGAATGTCGATAATGACGGCAAATGATACGCAAGGTAAACTAACTGGCATTTTATTTACTTCGATCTTATATTTTACGACACACTGTAATATTATAACTAGTGGTTACTGCATGACAGCTGTGTGACACCATGTAGGTTAATTACTCTATTGCGTGACAGTTATATCTTGTTTTAACTTAGTCAAAGTACCATTAATTTCTGCGTTAAAGTTGTTTTATTCAACTTAGTATGCTCTGTAGGCCGTCTACTTCGTGACAGTCAGTTTGATTGTCTTGGTTGTAACGCCATGACGGTTTTTAGCCGTGCAGTTGTAGATACCAGTGTCGGCATGCTTGACTCCAGTAATGCGGAGCTGCAGTTGCAAGGCGCCTGCCAAGTTCAGGGGCAAGTTCGGAAGTTTACTAAGGATCACCTTAAACACGATCAAAAGAATAAGCATCTTAATGTTTGCTTCATACAACACCAGAAAGGAAAGTCAAATCAACATAAGATATTAATTATAAAGCTTTTGGTCTATAAAGTACAACGCATCCATGAAAAACACCTTAGTTCTTGCTGTTGTTGTGATTGTCTGCTGACCATAACTCCAGGTCACAGTGGGCACTGGCATGGCTATCACAAGACAGTCAATAGTGACGTTATCTCCAACTCGATACACGTGACTTCTGGTACGGTTGCCGTTGACCAGAAAAAGAGCGTCCACGAGTGGCCGTGCTGTATTGAGAAAACAAACTAGATGTCAGGCGTTCGCTACCTGTTTTACTTTAGAGCGATTTTTACACGACCATTCCAATCAATTCGCAATTTCTTTGGTTTAGCATTACTATGCTGGGTAGTAGGCACTCCCTTTCGAGAGAAGAGTTTCCGCGCATTCTGACCGCACAAAAGTTAGGGTGTGCCAAAACTCAACAGGGAGTGAGGTGTCACTAACTCCCTCCGAGTCTTTGACTCCCGGGCCGGGTTGTACCCAGGATTGATTTTTTTTAACAAGAATATTTTTCATTGCTTATGATTTTTGAGGTTTGAAATTGTTCAATAACTACTGATTAAAGTAAATGGAGAACAACGCGAGACTCACACTGAATATTAAGGTTGTGTGCGACGTAGGCACCAAAATAGGCGTTCTGCACAACGCAAAAAAATCTCCCAGCGTCCCCATAAGTCACATTCTTGATTGACAGGTCTCCATTGTCATGAAGCGTCAGACGAGGGCTAAGAGTTTGCTTTGCACCTGTTGACAGAGTAGCAAGGTCAAGCTTAAATCGGGAATTCACTGACTTTACCATATATTTGACAGTGGCAATCAATCAAAATGCCTCAACGTGATTGGCCGATGAAATAGGCTCTCAGGCAGCTTAACATGTAAAGGTGAAGTGTCATAGGTAAATCTAGGTGGCTTAGAATTCCTTCGCTTTATTCCGATTTACGTAGCACTAAGTAACTAGTAACTTTTCTTACTTCTCCCCCACCCCCTCCCCCTTTTGTATGGCATGCTAGTCCAACGCACGTTTACCCACAGCATTAAATTGTCTAAATTCGCCATTTCTATTTACATATACACGTGGCAGAAAAATGGCATTGTGAGAACAAAGTGTATTGCCTAAGAACTGGGTCAGAACTGATCACAACTCAACACAGTGACTCTGGTCAGGTCTCAAACCAGTCCGCTCGATCCAGAGTCTAAAGCAAGCTAGAACATTAACCATATCGCCACCACTCTTCCTTCTATTGTGTTGCAACTACTAACCATTTAGTTGCTTTATGGCGATAATCCTGTTGGCTAATTGCCATTTAATGATAACTGGGCCTGAAGCACTGTAGCGGCAGGGGAGGGTCGCAGTCTGGAAAAACTTGACTATGA